GGCTAGTAGTCGGGCGCTTAACCATTTGCGCCACCCAGCTGCCTGTACAGAATGTTATGAGGTATATGAAAAGATAGGTCCCTTTTTCACAGTAAGATTAGGGAGATCAAATATACCTACTATCAATCAGCCACTCTGACTGTTCTTGCTTATTTTGCAAGTTGTGTTCACAATAAAATGGAATAATGTGACAGTGTTTTGACTAAAGTTCTTTGACACTGAAAGGTGTTTTACAGCCTTAAGTTATATAATATTTGCAGAAGGATCTTCGTGACATTGATATTTCAGATGGACTACAGTATTATGAGACTAGTGGTTATTTGGAAAGTGGTCTTTCTCATGAATTTAAATAACTTTAGAGTGACTACCCCTGTATGAGGATGGTAGGAGCATCATGAACTACAAAATGGGGTCTCTGGAGATTCGTTTTTTTGAATTAGAATTATTTTTATTATCTTTTTTTTATTCTTAATTTTTTTTCCCATACAATAATTTATACATACATTGTTAAGTGACCCTAATTCCTCTCCCCATACTGTGACAGCACACTCCTTTCCACACCTGATTCCCCATGTCCATTCAACCAGCTCCTAAACCTCTCTGCCTTCTCATCTCACCTCCGGACAGAAGCTGCCTGCTTAGTCTCTTGTATCTACTTGAGCTAAGAGGCACACTCCTCACAAGTATCACTTTATGTCCCACAGTCCAGTCCAATCCCTGTCTGAAGAGTTGGCCTCGGAAATTGTTTTAGTTCTGGGCTGTTAGAGAATCCAGGGGCCATGCTTTCCAGGGTTCCTCCAGTCTCAGTCAGACCATTAAGTCTGGTCTTCGTATTAGAATTTGAGTTCTGCACCCCACCTTTCTCCTGCTCCATCGGGGACTCTCTGTTGTGTTCCCTGTCAGGGTGGTCATTGGTGGTAGCCGGGCGCCATCTAGCTCTTCTGGTCTCAGGCTGATGAAATCTCTGGTTTACGTGGCCCTTTCTGTCTCTGGACTACTACTTTCCTTGTGTCTTTGGTGTTCTTCATTCTCCTTTATTCCAGATAGTTGGGACCAATTGATGCATCTTAGATGGCTGCTTGCAAGCTTTTAAGACCCCAGACACCACTCACCAAAGTAGGATGGAGAACATTTTCTTAATAAGCTTTGTTAATGCCAGTTGACCTAGATGTCCCCTGAAAGCATGGTCCCCAGACCCCTACCTCTGCTACTCTGTCCCTCAAAGTGTTTGTATTCAGGAAATTTCTTAGCTTTGGTTTAGTCCAGTTGTGCTGACTTCCCCTGTAGTGTGTGCTGTCCTTCCCTTCACCTAAGATAATTCTTATCTACTATCTAGTTAGGAAATAACCCTCACCCTCCCACCCCACCCTCGTAACCATCCAAGAATGTTTTCTTCTGTGTTTAAACCTTCTTGAGTTCTTATAATAGTGGTCTTATACAATATTTGCCCTTCTGTGACTGACTAAATTTACTTAGCATAGTGACCTCCAGATTCCTCTCTGGAGATTCTGATTCTTCAAAAGTTCTACTGTGGGTCCTGTACAACTGTGTTCCTTTTAATAAACTATGTGGGTGATTCTAATGTACCATTTGGGTTTAGATCTGGTTTTGTATTGAGGGCATGAGCAGAGGGAGAAGAATTGATGTTAGGTCATGCAGGTTTATCACACTGGGGAACAGAGAACAAAAATGAAAAAGAGAAATTTGTCAGAACTCAATGACTAAGTATGAGAGTCTAAAAGAAAAGAATCAGACATGATATGGTTTTGCCTAAGGAGAATGGTAATCGTGTTGACAGAATAGTAATTAGCAATTTTAGAGAGAGTATTTATTATAGGACTTTTAAGATATTCAAAAAACCAAAATCCCATTGCCATCAACTTGATTCCAACTCATAGCGACCCTATCAGAGAGAGTAGAACTGCCCATAGGGTTTCCAAGGAGCGGCTGGTGGATTTGAACTGCCAACCTTTTTTGGTTAGCAGCTGAGGTCTTAACCACTGCACCACCAAGGCTCCTTTAAGATATTAGGACAAAGTTGTTAGTAAAGGAGTCATATAGATATTTCTCATAGTTATTTGAAGAAAAGTTGAAAAATTTCATGGTGGGTATATTTAATTGAGATGGAGAAAATGTAAAGTGGTTAAAGTGAGGATAACAGTTGTTGAATTGTTTATTTACGCTTCCTTGACTTATGTAAGGAGCCCTGATAGCAGTGGTTAAGCGCTGGGCTGCTGACGGAAAGGTCAGTGGTTCGAACCCACCAGCACACCATGAGAGAAAGATGTGGCAGTCTGCTTCTGTAAAGATTTACAGCCTTGGAAATCCTGTGGGGCGGTTCTCTTCTGTCCTATAGGGTCCCAATGAGTTGGCATCAACTTGACGGCAATGGGTTTGGTTTTTGGTTTGACTTGTATAATGTAACCTCTCAAGCACCTTAGTTGAAATTGCAGAGTGGAATGGTTTGTATTTCCTTGGCTCCTAATCCTCATTAAGGCTGTGATGGTTAAGATTGTGTGTCATCTTGTCTGGGCCATGATTATCAGTGTTTATATGTGATCACTCCCATGATGGGATCTGCTGTAAGTAGCCAATCAGTTAAAAGGGAGTTTCCTTTGGGGTGTGGCCTGTATCCAAATATAAGCAGATGTTCTGGCTTTTTGCTCATTTTGGATCCTGTGGCTGCCTCCTGTTCATCTGACCTCCAGTTCTTGGGACTTGAGCTATCAGCTTATCTGCCAATCTTGGGATTCATCCATCTTCACAGCCTGTGAGCGGAGTCCTGCTCTCTGACCTGCTGAGCTTGGGTTCACTAGCCCCTGCAGCTACATCAATCAGGAGAAGCCTTGTGATCTTGCCTGCCAGTCTTGGGAGATCTTGCCTGCCAGTCTTGGGATTGGTGAATATTCACAGCCTGTGAGCAAGAGCCCTGCTTTCTGATCTGCCGATCTTGAGTTCGCAGCCCCTGCGGCTACGTGAATCAAGAGAATCAGAATCCTCTATCCTAATCCACGGACTTTGGACGTTCTAGCCTCTACAATCGCGTGAGCCATTTCTTTGATATAAATCTCTCTCTATATATTTATACGCTTTACTGGTTTTACTTCTCTAGAGAACCCAGCCTAAGACAAAGGCCTTTAGAGAGAGCAATGGTTCCCATCTAGAGGCTGTGAGCTAATTTCAGTATTTCAGAAAGCTTAATGAAATCATGTATTTTCCCAGTGTGAGGATGTACAAATTAAAGTTTCTTTGCCTTTGGCTGGAATCATATCAATTCTATGTTTGAATACTAAGTCTTTCTTATTGCACAGATAGATTGTTAGCAATTGCATCTTTTTATTTTTTAAGAAAATGAAAATGTATTTATGTAATATGCAGATTAATGGATAATACCTTTAGAAACATGGAGCTTGTGAAAGGAGAAAAATAAAAAGAGGAGAACCAAAAACTAAACCAAACCCATTGCTATTGAGTGGATTCTGACTCAGCGATGCTATAGGACACAGTAGAACTGCCCCAGAGGGTTTCCAAGGCTGGAATCTTTGCAGAAGCTGACTCCCACATCTTTCTCCCACGGAGCGGCTGGTGGGTTCCAACTGCCAGCCTTTCAATTGGCAGCCAAATACTTAACCACTGCGCCACCAGGACTCCTAAAAAGAGAAGATCTTTGGTTAAATGTGATACCAAACCCACTGCTGTCAAGTTGATTCCTACTCTTAGCGACCCTAATAGAGTTTCCAAGGCTGTAAATCTCCACGGAAGCAGGCTGCCACATCTTTCTCCTGTGGAGCTGCTGGTGGTTTCCAGCCACTGACCTTTTGGTTAGCAGCCAAATGCTTAACCACTGTGCCACCAGGGCTCCTAAAAAGAGAAAGTCTTTGGTTAAATGTTGATAGAGAATATGTTTATTATATAGTTTTATTTCTTTGTCCATTTACCAGGGTTGATGTCTTTGGCTTTGTTAAATAGAAGCATAGTTTGTATTTCAGTGCTTAGTTCTCAACTGAGTGAACATACAAAAGCTTCACAGTAACTGCTGCTGCTTCTTGCCATAAGGTCACACTTGTTCCCTGACTTCATTGCCTGTGAGTTTTTGTTCCTGTTTTGCCTTGATGGTCCATCACTTGAAGCAGTATTTGAAACATTTCTGAACATATCTTCTTTAGTATTGTTCCCCAACTCTTAGAACAGTGCCTAGTGCTCAATAAATATTTGCTAAATGAATTAACAAAGTACTACATATAAATAGTAATTAAAGTTGAAGTCAGTGTTAAGATACAAGGAAACTAAAAGAATAAGCATGCTGTGATACAGCACCAGAGTGATTTATGTTAATTTGAAAATTAGATTATTATTATATACTGGCAACATAAATAATATTGGACCTATCCATAAAGGTATATTTGTTTGTTGTGGTACCTGGTTGACATACAGTTTTCTCAAATGTCTGTTTACCTTATAATCTTATTGTGATGTTTTCAACTTTGTTATTGAATAAAACTGTTTCAGGCATTCAGTTGTGCTGTGATCAGGAGAAGACAGCCTCATGCCTCTCTCCTTCGTCCTTCTTCTGTGTTGTCCAGGAACTACCCAAGTTAAACTAGGGTCGTTTATAATCTCATTATGTCACAGCTTTAAGGTCCCCTAAGTAACCAGTCCCAGGTTGGAAGCAGTATATGTATTCTATACGGTGTTGTGTATACGGAGGGGAAAACAATGCTGCTTGGAGAGTGGAACTGAATTCTTGTATAGGGCACCTTTAGCAGGGACTCGTGGAAATATGTTAGTGTCTCACATTTAGTAACCTAAGATAGTGTCATTTGGTACAATTCAACAAATATTTATGGAGGGCCTATAGTTTGCCAGACACCGTTCTAAGTGCTACAACTCTGCTATCGTTAGTTGCCATCGAGTCGATTCCAATTCGTGGTAATAACCCCGTGTGTGCAGAGCAGAATTGCTCCATACAGTTTTCAAAGCTGTGACCTTTCAAAGGCAGACTACCAAGTCTGTCTCCTGAGGAGCCTCTGGGTGGGTTTGAACCACCAGCCTTTTGGCTAGTAGTCAAGTGCTTAACTGTTTGTGCCACGCAGGGACTCCTAGAACTCTACTAGTGAACAAAGTGTAGAAAGTCCCTGTTCTCGTGGAACTTATATTTTAATTGAGGAAAATACAGAATAACAAATAACATTATACACTGTGTCAGGCAGAAAAGCTGCTGCTTTTAGACATATCTTACTAAGTAACAAACTACCCCCCAAAATTTACAGGCTTAAAACAACTATTTTATTGTTTCTCACAATTCTTTGAAGAGTTCATCTGGATGGTTGTCTTTGGTCTTGCTTGAGGTCTCTCACTGGCATCTGGGCCTGGCACACCCAATACGGCTCTCTCAAAGCTGTTGGTTGGTCCTGGTTGTTTGGTTGCTCATCTGGGGCCTCAGTTTTTTCCGCTTGTCCTCTCCCTGTGACTTAGGCTTCTCACAGCATGGTGGCTGGGTCCCAGGAGGGAGTGTCCCAAGTGTGTGGGAGCAGAAGCTGCAGATTTTTTTAAGGCTCAGCCTCAGAAATTATACAGCATCACTTGCACCACATTTTATTGGTCAAAAGAGGTCATAGGAGGGGAAATGCGTTCCACTTTTGATAAGTGGTGGCAAGATCACATTGCATATGGGATAGGGGATATTGTTGCGGCTGTCTGTGGAAACAGAATTTACCACAGGGCTATAAAAAAATTAAGCTGGTTAATAGGAGGATAGGGGAACTACTGGGGCAAAAAGTATGTTATTATATAGGTGGTCCGAGAAGGCCTCTCCGATGAGGCAACATTTTAGATACTTGATGGAAATGAGTGAGCTGTGAAAACCATAAGGACATCGTAAGGAAGACTGTTCCAGGCAGACGGAACAGGAAATGAAGAAGCCCTGAGATGAGAGGATGCCTGGTGTGATCAAGGAATAGCAAGGAAGATGGGTATGACTGGGATGGATTGATAGAGGGACAGTGGTTGGGCATGAAATCAGAGAGAAAGTGAGAAGACAGATTTTGTAGCCCATGGCAAGGACTTTGGATTTTCTGTGAGTGAGATGGGAAGCCACTGAGTGGAAGAGTTGTATGATTTGACTTAAATTTTAAAAGAATCCTGTTTTGAGAATCTTTGGCTGCTGTTTGGAGAATAGACTGGAAGAAGACAAGAGGGGAAGTAGGAAGGCAAGTCAGTAGGCTAATGCATCTGAGACATAATAGACTTGCTAGTTGGTGAGAAGTGATTGGATTTTAGATACGTTTCAAGGTAGAACTGACAGGATATGCTGATGTGAGTGGATATGGGGTGAGAAAGAAAGAGGTCGAGGATGACTCCCAAAGTTTTTGCCCTAGGCACCTGGAAAAATGGAATTTCCATTTACCAAGATGGGAAGAGTGGGGAGGAGTTGGGTGTAGGTGAAGGAGATGCTGTTTCTGGCTATGTTGAGATGTATTGAAGAAGACATCTAGGAAAAAAAAAAAGATTACTAAATGTTACTTCCTCATTGCAGGTGTGACGTTGAGTGCTTCAGATCTGGTCACTATGGTACGCGAACGAAAATGCATATTGTGCCACATTGTGTACAGCTCAAAAAAGGTAATAATGGAAGAAGAGAATCTGAGGCATCATGACTTTTTTTTTTCAGAGACATCCATGTGGGATTTATAGATGGGTAAAAGCTTTTAACAGCATCTTATTTATGCTTCTTTCCCAAACCTCATTCCACTGGTTTCTTTCTCATTATTGCCCCATAAAGCCAGTAGCTATATTATTAGCCTCTACCCAGAAATCGAAGATACCCAAACACAGATGATACAGAGAAATTTAGTTAGTTGTAGAGAACCACTTATAGAGTAAATACCTTATAATTCAGGTTACTTGAGGTATACTACTTTCTGATTAAGAGTACATATTTCATGAAGAGAATTTATTATGTGTACCTACATTCTGTTTACGCCCATGGTTGTGAAAAGTGCAACATAAGAGATGGTATTAACGATATCCTAGGTGACCACAAGGTGGGGATGTTGCTCAAAGTAAAACAGACCTTTTTAAGAACTAAAGCACCTTATGGCAATCAGCTGCTGTTCACCTCACTTTTTGGCTTTCTTGCCTTTATCCTTTGCTTTCAAAGCAATGCTGCTAGTTTAAATACTGAGAAAGTTTTTCTCTGCTTTTCAGATGCTCTTGATTGTCATTGGAAATTCAGATAACTGGGCTACGTTAGCCAGGGAGGTAGTATCTAGGATTACAATAGTTTAAGAGAAATGAAGGACATTTTGTTCTTCCAGTTTTAAAAATTTAAACCATAGTTTATACAAATTTTCTATAAATAAAAATTCCTTATGGCTACTTTCAGGTAGGAAGTAGATGGGAAATGGAGAAAGTGTGAGATAGATAGGTGGACGCTCAGAGGTATGGTGTCAGGCTTTCATGCAGTAGCACCCCTATCTTGTGATAGCTCATGATTTTGCCATTTTAAATCTTTTTAGTGTTTCTTCTACTCTGGGTTTAAAAAATATTTTCATTTCTTCACACTTTCGCATGGATCATAATGACGTTAAATTAAGCATTGGGGTTTTCTTCTGCTTTAGGGAAAGACAACGGGTAGGTTGCTAAGCAAAGGAATGACATGATTTTTTCTTTTCTTTTTTTTTTTTTTTTAATCGTGATTTAGGTGTAAGTTTACACAGCAAATTTGTTTCTAATTAAAAAATTTGTACACAAATTGTTTCTTGGCGTTGGCTGCAGTCCCAGATTGTGTCAGCACTGTCCCCTTTCCCCTTTCCAGCCTGGGTTCACTGTGTCCGTTCGTCCAATTTTCCTGTCCCCTCTCACCTTCTCGTCTTTGTTTCTGGGCAGATGTGGCCCATTTGATCTCATATACTTGATTGATCTAAGAAGCACATTCCTAACAGTGTTATTATTTGTCTTATAGGCCTGCCTAATCTTTGGCTGAAAAGTGAACTTCTGGAGTGGCTTCAAGTCTGAGTTAGAAGGGTGTCCGGGGGCCATAGTCTCAGGGGTTCCTCCAGTCTCTGTCAAACCAATAAGTCTGATCTTTTTTGTGAATTTGAGCATTTGTTTTACATTTTTCTCCCACTCTGTCCGGGACCGTCTGTTGTAATCCCAGTCAGAGCAGTCAGTAGTGGTAGCCAGGCACCATCTAGTTCTTCTGGTCTCAGGGTCATGTAGGCTGTGGTTCATGTGGTCCGTTAGTCCTTGGGACTAATTGCTCCCTTGGGTCTTTAGTTTTTTTCCCTCTCCTTTTCTCTGGAGTAGAAGAGACCAATAGTTGTATGTTAAACAGCCACTCACAAGCTTTTAAGACTCCGGCTGCTACTCACCAAAGTAGGTTGTAGAACATTGTCTTTAAGACTGTGTTGTGCCAGTTGATGTAGATATCCCCCAAGTCTATGGTCCTTTGCCTTTGAGCCTGGGAACTTCATCCCATAAGGTATTTAGTTATGTCTAAGAGGTTTCCCCAACTGTGTCACTTGTGTGCTCCGTTGTCTATATTAATATATGAGGAGGACCTACAGTCACGTGTTTAGAAATCTTCACCTCCAAACTTGTATCTGTTGGGTGTGTTACCTTACCCCCTCCCTCACCTCTTGGCATATCTATGTATCCGTTCATAGATTATTGTTTGCTGATTCTATTGTTGCAGGATTGGCTATGCTGTGGTGTGCTGTGCTACAGTAGTTACCATATCTGTCCTTTATTCCTTTGTTTCTCTCAGTGTCCTCTCTTGCCTTGGTCATGTTGTACTGACTTCTCCCATATTGTGTATTGCAGGAATGACATGATCTAAGTGTTAAGATTAATATGGTCTAAGAAATGAACAGAATGGGTTAGTTGGAAATGATGACAGATAACCTTTTTTCGATAGACTGTGAACAGCTTACGTTGAAACAGTGTTTTCCTCTAGTTCCCCAAACTAGTGTAACCCTGGTTTCTCGAGATACACTTTGGAGGAGGAAAGGTTCTAGAGTGACTTAAGTATGGGGAAAATGAATATACTACATCCCTGAGTGTCCTGATGCCCAGTAGCATATGAAAGATTGATAAGCTCATACTAAATTTTTATATTACTTAATGTGTTCCAAATTTGTTCAGCCACGCAAGCCTTTTCTTTTTCCTTCCTTCTCTTTTAAACACAATATGAGTAGTTCCCAGCTTACCATGGGGTTCCATTCTGACGACTCCATTGTAAGTTGCTTCTGACGTAAGTCAAATACTTCTTTTTTTTTTAAGTTTTCATTATTACTGCCTTTTATTATCAGTATCTTTATAAATCCAATCTTTATTTGTCTTTGGGGATTGGAAACATTACATATAAACTTAGATACATCTTAATGCATATAGTACATGTTACTAGTGATAAGATGTAAGAAAAAACACCAGTTGTAAGTGCAGTTTGTTGTAACTCGGATATGTTGTAAGTCGGGGACTACCTGTACTGATTAGTACATGAAGAATCAAATAGACCCTGGTATCTGAGAAGGTATGCATTTGGGACTATTATTTTAATTTTATGCCTGTGGATCTTCCCCAAATATTTTGAAAGCTTAGTTGTCTCACTATTTGCATTCATTCCTTGAAGCAGGATGGGGGGTATTTCACATGTAGATTTAGGAGAAGATTAATGAAGTGTTTTAGAAAATCAAAAGTCACATTAAAACTAGTTTTTTTAAATATATAATTTTTTTTAATTTTGTTGTTATTGGAATATACACAGCAAAACATACACCAGTTTAACAATTTCTGCATGTACAATTTAGTGACACTGATTACACCCTTCAGGTTGTGTAACCACTCTTACCCTCCTTTTCTGAGTTATTCTTCCCCCATTAACATAAATTCACTGCCCCTTAAGGTTCTCCTATCTAATATTTCTTCTTGTTGTCAATTTGATTCTATATAGATAGTTCGTAAAAGAGCCTAATGCTCAAGGCAGACCTTTTTTACTAGTTAAGTTAAACTATTAATTGGTTTTAAGATGACTTCAAAGGATATTTTTGGGTTAAGGTTTAAAGATTATCTCAAGGCAGTAGTTTCAAGGGTTCATCCAACTTTCATACCTTCAGGAAGTCTGGAGTCCATGAGAATTTGAAATTCTGTCTTGCATTTCCCCCTTTTGATCGGGATTCATCGATGGAATCTTTGATCAAAATGTTCAGTAATGGTAGCTGGGCACCATCCAGTTCTTCAGTTGTGCATGGAGGCAGTTAGCCACATAGTCCATATCCTCCTATTCCTGACTCTTCTTCCTCTGTTGCTTCAGGCGAATAGAGACCAATTATTGTTCCTTGGATGGCCTCTTGCAAGCTTTTAAGACCCCAGGCACTATGCATCAAACTAGGAGGTAGAACAGAAGCACTAAACATATTATTAGGCCAGTTAATTGGGATGTCCCATGAAACCATCACCCTAAACTTCCAAACCAAGAAACCAAATCCCAGAAGGTATTATTAGGTTGTACATAAGCAGCCTCAGCTGCTGCTCTTTTTTTTTTTTTTTGGTCATTGTAAAATATCTATCACACGATTTTTGCCAGTTCAGCTTTTTACAGATGTACAACTTATTGACAGCAATTATAGTAATTGGCTGTGCAACCCTACCCTTAATCAATGTGATATTTCCATCACCATTAACCCTCTCCCTCCCACCCCTGGTAACCACTAATAAACTTTGTTCTCTATACATTTGCCTTTTCTTGTCTTTTTATATAAGTGAGGTCATATAATATTTGTCCTTTTTTAAAACTACTTTTGAATGATAACATTTTTATAACAAATAGAATATAGACTTGGTTCTGATATCAGAGGGAGTAACACATTTCAGTCAATACTGTTTTGGTCAGGAATGATTTGGTTACAAGGAACAGAACCCACTCAGATTAGCTCAGGAAAAGAGAATTGACATATAAATACCAGTCTAATCCAAGAAAAAATTGAACAACAGGAAGCATAGGGACTTCAGCAGATATTGTATATTGTTCATGAATTTTTTTCATTCCAGTGTTCCATCATGAACTTGATTTTGTTTTCAACTCTGTAAGTGTTCATTCCAATTAGCGGCTAATCACTTGTAGTTAGGAGGGGTTACATGTAAAGTTGCCCCCTTCATATGAAGCATTTATAGAGATGGGAAGGAAATGATGGTTGTCTTCAGTAAAATTGCCACTTACTGTGTTTTGAATCATAACCGTTTGTCTTCCGTAGTTGAAGATAACTTAAAGTAATAATGGATTGTTGTATTCTCTTTTTGACAAATGAACTGTATATAATGAAAAATCTCAATGCAGTAGATACTTATAATGTGACATGGTGTTTGAAATGTTGAATTTAATTCCACGTCTGCCAGGATTTGAATCCTCATTTGACCATTGGTTATCCATGACTCTGAGAGGGCAAGACTGTGACTATTTTCACACTTATCCCCTCAGTGCCTATCTCTGTACTTGGCACATGATAAGCTCTTGATAAATATTTGCTGAATGAACAAGTTAACTTCCTTGCATCTTTGTGTTTTTGTGAAGTTAGTACTCCCTTAGCAGTGTTTTGCCATTCCAGTGAGAAAATGTTTAAGGCCCGTAGCACAGGCCTGGTAAACAGTAATACTCAGCAAGTGCGGTGGCTCTTTTACTACTTTTAAACAGCTATTCTCTAGTTATGGCGTGCTGGCTATATACTTTGGAGTGACAGAAGGATAGACATTTATAGCTTTTTGAGTTTTTTCCGTATGTGTGTGTGTGTGTGCGCGCGTGCGTGTGTGTGTGTGCGCGTGCGTGCGTGTGTGTGTGTGTGTGTGTGTGTGTGCGCACGCGCGCCCACGTGTGGTTTTAAGTGGCACTTTTCCCACAGATTTTATTTTCTTCTCACTGTGGGTGAGATAGGGTGAGGGGGAAGCTAGTAAATTTTCAGACTTTTCATTAGAACCAAACAGGGCTTCACATCAGTTTGTTCTGGTTCAAACCCCGGCTGAGAATTTGCGTTTCTAACAAGTTCCCAGGCAATACTAATACTGTTGGTTAGGGACCAATTCTGAGAACCACTAGTAGAGCAAAGTTTATTATACATAAGAATCACATGGGGATCTTGTTAAACTGTAGAGTCTGATTCAGTATACCTGGGATAGAAATGCAAATTCTCAGCAGGGGTTTGAACTGGAAGGAACCTGTTAGAAGCCCTGGAACCAACCAGTCAAGCACAGAGCTGTGCAAGGGGAAGATGAAGGCATGATTGTGCCATAGTGCTCAGAGCATTCCTTTAAACTTCCTCTTCTACCATAAAAAGACTCTGTTATAGCTGTGACGCCTATCTAGAATGGATGTATCCATCTGTTCATTCAGATAATGCTTATTAAAGATTATATGCCAGGCCCTGGGCATACCAACATGGGCAAGAGTTGTACCTTACTCTTGAGAAGCTCTCAGTTGAATAGGGAAATAAGTTATGCAGAAAAGTAACCAAGTAATTGAGAAGTTATATGATTTCAGGGATTTTTGTTGTTGTTGTTTTGAAATAAGCTCTAGTGAATTCCTTACACAGGCATACCTCAGAGATATTGCGGGTTCGCTTCCAGACCACTACAAAAAAGCGAACATCACAGTAAAGCACATATCGCAATAAAGTTAGTCACAAGAATTTTTTGGTTCCCAAACCAAAACTGTACCAAACTTGTTGCTGTCGAGTTGATTCTGACTCATAGCGACCCCTATTGCTGTGAGTTGGAATTGACTCAATGGCATTGGATTTGTTTTTTTTGTTCCCAGCACATATAAAAGTTATGTTTACACTCTACTATAGTCTACTGAGTGTGCAATAGCATTATGTCTAAAAAAACAGTGTACATACCTTAATTTAAGACTTCATTGCTAAAAAATGCTAACCATCATCTGAGCCTTCAGCGAGTCATAGTCTTTTTTGCTGGTGGAGGGTCTTGCCTCAATGGTGATGGCTGCTGACTGATCAGGGTGGTGGTTGCTGAAGGTTGGGGTGACTGTGGCAATTTCTTAAAATAAGACAACAATGAAGTTTGCCGCATTGATTGACTCTTACTTTCACGAAAGATCTCTCTGTGGCATGCAATGCTGTTTCATAGCATTTTACCCACAGTAGAACTTCTTTCAATCCTCTCAAACCCTGCCACTGCTTTATCAACTAAGTTTTTGGAATATTCTAAATCCTTTGCTGTCATTTCAACAGTGTTCACAGCATCTTCACTAGGAGGACATTCCATCTCAAGAAACCACTTTCTTTGCTCATCCATGAGAAGCAACTCCTCATCCGCTAAAGTTTTATCATGACATTTCAGCAATTCAGTCTCATCTTCAGACTCCACTTCTAATTCTAGTTTTGTTGCAGTTACTTCCTCCACTGAAGTCTTGAACCCCTCAAAGTCATCCATGAGGGTTGTAATCAACTTCTTCCAAACTCCTGTTAATGTTGATATTTTTACCTCCTCCCGTGAATCACAAATGTTCTTAATGGCATCTAGAATGGTGAATCCTTTCCAGGTTTTCAATTTATTTTGCCTAGATCCATCAGAGGAATCACTGTCTATGGCAGCCGTAGCCTTACAAAATGTATTTCTTAAATAATGAGACTTGAAAGTCAAAATTACTCCTCGATCCATGGGCTGTAGAATGGATGTTGTGTTAGCAGGCATGAAAACAACGTTAATTTCCTTGTACATCTCCATCATAGCTCTTGGGTAACCAGGGGCATTGTCACTGAACAGTAATATTTTGAAAGGAATTTTTTCTGAGCAGTAGGTCTCAACAGTGGGCTTAAAATATTCAGTAAACCATGTTGTAAACAGATATGCTGTCATTCAGGCTTTGTTGTTCATTTTTAGAGCATGGGCAGAGTAGATTTAGTATAATTTTTGAAGACCCTAGGATTTTCGGAATGGTAAATGAGTATTGGCTTCAATTTAAAGTTAGCAGCTGCATTAGCCACTAACAAGAAAGTCAGCTTCTCCATTGAAGCTTTGAAGCCAGGCATTGACGTCTCCTTTCTAGCTATGAAAGTCCTAGATGGCATCTTCTTTCAATATAAGGCTGTTTCGTCTGCATTGAAAATCTGCTGTTTAGTGTAGCCACCTTCATCAGTTATTTTAGCCAGATCTCCTGGATAACTTGCAGCTTCTACATCAGCACTTGCTGCTTCACTCTGCACTTTTATGTTATGCAGACAGCTTCTTTCCTTAAACCTTATCAGTCAGCCTCTGCTAGCTTCAAACTTTTCTTCTGCAGTTGCCTCACTTCTCTCAGCCTTCATAGAATTGAAGAGAGTTAGGGCCTTGCTCTGGATTAGGCTTTGGCTTAAGGGAATGTTGTGGCTGGTTTGATCTTCTATCCAAAACACTAAAACTTTCTCCATATCAGCAATAAGGCTGGTTCACTTATTATTTGTGTGTTCACACTGGAGTGACGCTTAATATCCTTCAAGAACTTTCCTTAACATTCACAAGTTGGCTGTTCGGCACAAGAGGCCTAGCTTTCAGCCTGCCTCGGCTTTCGACATGCCTTCCTCACCATGCTTAATCATTTCTAGCTTTTGATTTAAAGTGAGAGACGTGCGACTCTTCCTTTCACTTGAACACTTAGAGGCTATTGTAGGGTTATTAATTGGCCTAATTTCAATATTGTCATCTCTCAGGGAATAGGGAGGCTTGAGGAGAGGGAGAGAGATGGGGAAATGGTCGGTGGAGCAGTCAGAACACATACAACATTTATCGATTAAGTTTACCGTCTTATATGGGTGTGGTTCATGGCGCCCCAAAGCAATTACAATAGTAACATCCAAAATCACTGATAGCAGATCACCATAACAGATATAATAATGAAAAAATTTGAAATATTGCAAGAATTACCAAAATGTGACACAGAGACATCAAGTGAGCACCTGCTGTTGGAAAAACGGCACTGATAGACTTGCTCAATGCAGGGTTGCCACAGACCTTCAATTTGTAAAACACATAATAAAATGAAGCACAATAAAACGAGATATGCCTATAATGGGATAGAATTTAACCTGCATAGATCTTTTGCTGCCTAAAGACAATATACTTCCTAACTTTTTTGGAAAGCCACTTAAATATGTCTTTCTTAATATTTCCTTTTATTTAGAACGAAATATGTCAGAAGCAGTTAAAGGACTATTTAATAAGGAACTAATTAGAATATTGAATCGAGAAGCATAATGCTGTTGACACAAGGAGCTTGAACCCTGACTGTTCATTGAATAGGTAGAGAGGAATTGTTTTTCAGAGCAGTCTCCCTCAGTTTAATCTGCTTTCTTTAATTTTGAAGGAGATGGACGAACACATGCGGAGCATGTTGCATCACAGGGAACTTGAGAACCTGAAGGGCAGGTATGGGAACGGCTGTCTTTAAATTTGTGAATGTGGGGGACTCTGAGTGCCAGTGGTGCCTGTCAGCTTATTTTATAGTAATGCATCATGAGTGAATGTCATATTATGGCATAGAACTATCTTTTAGGATTAATGTCAAGTACAGTAGATTCTTAGCGTTCAAAGGGATAGACCCTAAGATCTTTGTGCATCTCAAATGTGTAGAGTTCACAGCAGCTCTAGCAAGTAGATTGCCCAACAAAGGTGGTTGGGATGAACTAGCTCTCTCTTTAGTATGTTTTCATTCCTACACATGAGCCTTGTAGCTAGGACTTTTCATATTTTCGCCTCAGCAGTGCTACAGATTATTGCATGCCATAACCCTTTAGTGTTGCTGGGATATTCTGAGAAATCCAAAGTCTGCTAAATAGCCCTGAATCTCATTAGTGAAAACAAAATCTAAGTGTAATTAAGTATATTTAAGAATGCTGTGTTGTGCCTTAAAACTTAAGATATTTAAAGAAAGAAAATCTAATAACTAAATTCCTTTTAAAATGAAATATGTATGTATTCCATGCCTGGTTTTCCTTCTCTAGTTCCTTTTTTGATGTTTTGACTTGTGTGAATTTGAAGTTTAGAGGCAGGATGGGGCAGAGAAACTTTGGGAAACTGAGAAATATGAATTATATCTCGTTCCATGAATAGTAGTTACAAGTTTTGATTAGCATGCTGTTATGGATTGAATTGTGTCCCCAAAAAATATGTATTGTAATTCCTAACTTCTATGTCTGTGGTTATAATCCCATTTGGGAATGGATTGTGTTTGTTATGCTAATGATGCCTGCAAGATTAGTGTAGGGTGTTCTTGAGCCAGTCTCAAGAGATTAAACAAGCAAGCGAGGAAGCAGAGATGGGTTGGGGGAAGAGAAATGCAATGCCACATAAAGATTGCCCAGGACCTTCCCCCAGAGCTCACAGAGAAAGCCTTCTCCTAGAGCCGGTGCCCTGAAGTCAGACTTCTAGCTTCCTAAACTGTGAGAAAATAAGTTTCTGTTTGCTAAAGCCACCCACTTGTGGTATTTCTGTTATAGCAACGCTAGATAACTGAGACACGTGCCAACCTAAGTCATGTGAAATGATTTGTATTTTAAGTCATACCGTTTTAGATTGTGTGGTCAAATTAATACATATTAGTAAACTTATAGCATCTCTTTATCGTTGTAGTGGAATTTTTCCATATTCTCAGTTCCTTACTATGTGAAGGTTAAGTCTTAGCAGTGGTATAAAAGGTTTTCACTCAGATTTAGTGTGGAGAGTCTTTATCATAATACCTGGAATATGTATGAACTCTAACTCATTAGCATCGGAAACCTATGAAGTACAGTCAACTCTTGATTATGTGGATATTTTCATTATTTAAAAATCCCATTGCCAGTAGACTTCCTTCTGGATTTACCTTATTCTGGACTGCTTACCCTGGTACCTGCCCCAGGTAAAATAAAATACAGGAAGGAGGTCCATAAATCTAGTGATTGGGAGAAAAGCCCATTGCATTCTAGGACTAAAAGGACCTTATTTTATTCGATCATGAATCATCCATTTAAAAACAAATTTTGGTTACATAAGATAAATTCATGTTCATGATCATTATAGAATCATAAAAAGTAAGAAAATATAAAAATCTTCTTACCCTACCCTCCATTAAATCCTAGTCCCCTCTTAGAGGAGAGTCCAGTTTTGGTGTATATCCTACCCAGACATCTTCCTATGCACTTAAATAGATTTAGGTTTATATACATATATACATTTTATCTTATTAACGTAAGTGAACCACATACCATATATGGATTGTTCTATAACTTGTTCCTCCTCTTCTCTTGCCCCCTACTATAACTTGCTGTTATGGATTGAATTGCATCCCCCAAAAATGTGTGCTAACTCAGCTGGGCCATGATTCCCAGTCTTGTGTGATTGCCTACCATTTTGTCATCTGATGTGATTATCCTATGTGTTGTATATTACCTCTATGATGTTAATGAGGCAGGACTCAATCTACAAGATTAGGTTGTATCTTGAGTCACTCTCTTTTGTGATATACAAGAGAGAGGCAAGCAGAGAAACAGGGACCTCATACCACCAAGAAACAAGACCCAGGAGAATAGCATGTCTTTTGGACCCGGGGTTCGTGCTTTAAGGAATTCCTCGACCGGGGAAGATTGATGACAAGGACCTTCCCCCAGAGCCAACAGAAAGAGAATGCCTACCCCTGGAGCTGGCACCTTTAATTCAGACTTGTAGCCTCCTAGACTGTGAGAGAATAAATTTCTGTTTGTTAAAGCCATCCGCTTGTGGTATTTCTCTTATAGCCGCACCAGATGACTAAGACAGCTGCCATAGAGATTTCCTCTACCGTTTTCAGTTATTTGGTGCATAGTCAAATGATCAGGAAGAAAGCATTAAAGCCTTTGAGCTGCCAATATAAATGTCAGCTTTAGTGGCCAAACTCACTTTATTTAGTGGAGAGCATTTCAGTATTTATTTACTTACATTTTAGAAACAGTGCTAACAGGTTTTATCTGGTTTCCTGGCCTGTAACAAATTATAAGGGAGAAGGCAAGCAGGTAGCAGGAAAAAACAGCTGACAAAACTATAAAAAATAAACATAAAAACTCAAAAATCGTTTAATGACTTGGAGTATTTACTGTAGCAGCAAATAGTCATTAGCAATTTGTACCACAGGGGTAAACAGTCATCAGTTGCTATTTTTTCCTGCTATCCTCATTTTGTGATTATTTCCTTGAATTTCTGTTTAATTTCCTGGTTTTCTGATGATAGAGCTTTCTGTTTCTCTTTGTATTTCTATCTCTGTAGTTTTTGCTCGTGATCTGGTTAAATCTGTGAAAAGTATATTTTTGAGATCTTGAATTCAAGCTTGAATGAGAAGTAGGTAACATCGTATTTGGTTCACAGTTGTGGACATCTGGAGCATTTTTCTGTTTTTTCCTAATATACCTGTTCAGGTGTGTGGTCTGTAAGTAGATTCTACATGTAGATGCCATTAAAAAGGCACAAACCTTTATTTATCAGCTAGCTGTTGTGGTATAGTTAGAGAAGCTTAATAAAGAAAAGCTTATGGATAAAATGTGTTTAGCCGTTGCCTTTCACACGTGAGAGGAAACTGTGTCGTAATAGGATGAAGCTAATTTGAGCCTTCCTTTAAATACCCTGAGGAAAGTTACTGACTTTACTAGCCAAGAAGCAAAGCAATACTTTTTTCTCCACAATTATTTTATATATTTACACAAAGTAGTAAATATTTTAACTGGTTATTGATAAAGAATTAGAAGATAGCGTCATTAAAATATTAATTTGCTATTAACCCTTTAAAACATGTCATTTCCCAAATACCACATGTGGGAGCATGACTGGATGTTGTATGTAAAACAGAGGTAATGTGGTTACCTCCAGACATACTTGAATTTTTACATGTGGTTCTCATATCCTGTTCTTTCTGTATGGAAATATAGATCTTTATTTTCCCTTTTTGAGGTTTCTTATAAAGTTCATCTCTCTGTCTTTTTTTAAAACTAGGTTTCATTTATAGGAAAAATATTAAAAGATTTATGGTTTTTGAGAAATAGTCTTTATATTAACTTTTATGTTGCAATTATTGCCTGTATCTTTCTAGACTGGAAAGATCTCTAATGTGTTTCTGTATCAGATAACTTCGGAACTATGGTAATATTCTTTCTCACAAGAAAAGTAGAACTTTAAAAAAAATTGTCTGTTTGAATGTCTATTAAGTATCCAACATAATGCTTGTACTTCGGGAGTTGCACAGTGTGTGGGCTTGTGATTATGGATGTTTATTTTTAACAGAGTTAAATACTGAATACTGTCTACTTTATACCATATTTCTGTTTAATATTTTTTGAAGTCAGTGTGGCCTTCTGGTTGTATCTTTAAAGAAAAAATTTTGATGATCTGGACATGAGAAAAATTCTGTACAGTTTTGAAGGGTAAAATCAGGGATTTAATTTAAAAATACCTTTTAGGGATTATATTAAAGTTCCCAATAGAATTATGTCCCTGTTTTTGCAGTATGTAGTTTAGCATTTTTTTTTTTTTTTTTGAATTTTTATTATTGTGTTCTAGGTTTGCTATAGTCTTCAGATTCTTCTCATGCTACCCATTATGGAGATACATACACCCACGACTCGCTTACCAACTTGGCTAGGTTCCAAGGACCAGGTCGTTATGCAAAAGTCAGCATTATGTGAAAATGGAGGATTTTTTTTTTTTCTGTTTTCAGACCATCTATTTGTCTGTTTTTTTTTTAGAAACTATGATCATAGAAATAATAACAGCTAAACATTTACTAATGTGCTCATCACTATGACGAGTCAAGTTCTGGATTATTCCTCTGCAGACAAGGAAGCTTGGAGGAGACAAAGCTAAATTAAGCTGGGCTGTGTGACTGGAGGGCCCATGGCTTAACCTCTTCACCTTCCTCCTGTCTGGGTCAGAGCTTCCCTCACGGAGCCACCTCCATGGCTCCACTCCCACCCCTGCAAGCCCTGGGTCATGATCCTGGAGCCTACTCTGCCCTCCTGGCCTGGTGAGTCACCAAGGCTCAGGGCTTCCTGTGAGGGCCTGGGAGCCTGGCTGCCCACCCAGCCCCACTGAGGTGGAGGCTTCTGGCCCAGTTCAGCTCACTTTGGAATGCACACATTTCTTCCAGATGCCCTCTCTGATGCTTCTTTCTTTCCTGCCTTCCCACCTGTCTTAGAATGGGTTCTCTAGAGAAGCAAAACCAGTAAAGCATATAAATATATATGTAGACAGGTTTATATCAAGGAAATGGCTCACACGGTTGTAGAGTCTGGAACATCCCAAGCCTGTGGGTCAGGATAAAGGCTTCTCCTGATTCACGTAGCCACAGGGGCTGGTAAACCCAAGATTGGTAGGTCAGAGAGCAGGGCTCTTGCTCACAGGCTGCGAAGATTGATGAATTCCAAGAT